AGGGAGAAGGATACTGCAAAATCCCCATTCCTTCCCCACTCCTGGGGGAAAGATACTGCAAAATCTCCATTCCCACCCAACTCCTGAGGGAAGGATACTGCAAAATCTCCATTCCCACCCCACTCCTGGGGGAAGGATACTGCAAAATCTCCATTCCCACCCCACTCCTGGGGGAAGGATACTGCAAAATCTCCATTCCCACCGCACTCCAGGGGGAAAGATACTGCAAAATCTCCATTCCTTCCCCACTCCTGGAGGAAGGATATTGCAAAATCCCCATTCTTTCTCCACTCCTGGGGGAAGCATACCGTAAAAACTCCGTTCCCACCCCACTCCTGGGGGAAGGAATACTGCAAAACTTCCATTCCCACCCCACTCCTGGGGGAAGGATACTGCAAAACTTCCATTCCCACCCCACTCCAGGGGAAGGGTACTGCAAAGTCTCCATTCCCACCCCACTCTGAGGCCAGCCAGAGGTGGTATTTGCCGGTTCTCCAAACTACTCAAAATTTCCTCTTTCACGGGGGGTTGGACTAAATGACCTACAAGGTCCCTTCCAACTCTGTTAATCTGAGATCTGAGATGTGATTTGAGACAAGTCCAAAACAGTGGATATCATCACTCAAATGGCACCCCCGAGTCTTACATGACAATGAAAATAAAATACTTTATTAGATACAATATTTTTCCTATTGAATGTAAAGTTTCTGTAATAAATCTGGAGCATTATCGTGGGGACAATTATTTCAAAGGCATGAAACAATACTATAATTGTTATGGAATGATGGGACCAAACAACATTCCTGGGTCAGCCAGAGACAGTTTTATTGCGCAGTTTCAGAACCAGATTTGTATCTGCTCTGATACAACTGCTTTTATACATCTTCAAGACAAAGGATTTTGCGAGCACAGCAGTTTTCCATATATGGTTAACATACATTTGTTACATGATAATTGACACTTTCTAATTACTAAATTCCTATATTATTTTCTAGTTCATAAGATTATCTTAGCTAAACAACCTTCCTCAGTTCTGTGATCGCTGATGCGTAGATTCATGGCTGCTTTGGATAATAAGTAACAATTGTTTCATATGGATGTCCTTGCATCCTTGACAGCTAGGCCCCTCAGAAGATATATTACCAAGAATGGAATTTAGCTGACTTAGTGTAATCTCTAAACAAGCACATTTCTTTCTTATAATAATGTGAATAAAGAGGGTCCTTCAGTGTTTATATAGCTGACCCTGAACTAGTCCTACATCATTCACATTATAATAGCTCTATAATTCTCCATAATCAAAGAAATGTAAAATATAAATAAGCATATAAACCATGGCACTTATATGAATAGAGAAGTTGGCCTTACTTAAAACGTTGGCGTTGAAAGATATTCATATTCTTCCCAACAATGGCTATATCGATCTGAAAGAAAAAGTTAAATATTAGTTCTGAAAATGTGCATGTTACAATCAGCGAAATCAATACAAGCCCAGGTTTGGTCTGGAAGTTTCGGTTACAGTGTTCAGTTGAAGGTTAAAAATTAAACCTTCAAAATCCTATCTGTAGGGGTAAGACGTCCTCCTTTACATTTTGAGAGATCATCTCAAATTTACACCTTCTCTATAAACATTGTAAAAGCTGGGCCGATGCTGTGCCTCCGAGGACACAGATCAGTGGTAAAAATCCAATTTTTTTTACTACTGGTTCTGTGGGTGTGGCTTGGTGGGCGTGGCAGGGGAAGGATACTGCAAGATCCCCATTCCCTCCCCACTCCTGGGGGAAGGACATTGCAAAATCTCCACTCCCACCCCACTCTGGGGCCAGCCAGAGGTGGTATTTGCTGGTTCTCCGAACTGCTCAAAATTTCCACTACCAGTTCTCCCGAACCTGTCAGAACCTGCTGGATTTCACCCCTGGCACAGATTCATGGTCTGGTTTGTTGATGGGATAAATAAATATCTATTAAAGCTTCCAAGGCTTAGGAAGTCTCCCTCTAAGCCAGTAGTATCCACCTAAGTCAGGATACTACCAAAGAGAGTTGTTGCAATGGCACAACTGAACCGAGAGCAACTGCAGTGTCTTCACCTCTCTCATAGAAAAAATGTACTTCAATCTCCTACAATACCCAGAATTCTTTTGGGAAGGCAAGACGATTATGCTAGTATAAAGCCAATGTAGGGAGGGTGTGTGCGTGTGTGTGTGTGAGAGAGAGAGAGACAGAGACAGAGAGGGAGAGAGAGAGAGGGAGAGAGGGGGAGAAAAACAGAGAGAGAGGGGGGACGGAGGGAGAGGGAAAGAGAAGAGGGAGGGAAGGAAAGAGGTAGGAAGAGAAACAGAGAGGGGGAGGGAGGGATAGAGAGAAACAGAGAGAAGGGGAGGGAGAGAAACAGAGAGAGAGAGAGAAAGAGAGGGAGGGAGGGAGAGAAACAGAGAGAGAAAAAGAGAGGGAGGGAGAGAGAGATGGAGGGGGAGAGAGAAACAGAGAGGGGGAGGGAAGGAGAGAGAGAAACAGAGAGGGGGAGGGAGAGAAACAGAGAGAGAGAGAAAGAGAGGGAGGGAGGGAGAGAAACAGAGAGAGAAAAAGAGAGGGAGGGAGAGAGAGATGGAGGGGGATAGAGAAACAGAGAGGGGGAGGGAAGGAGAGAGAGAAACAGAGAGAGAGAGAGGGAGAGAAACAGAGAGAGAGAAAGAGAGGGAGGGAGGGAGAGAAACAGAGAGAGAAAAAGAGAGGGAGGGAGAGTGAGAAACAGAGAGAGCCGGAGGGAGAGAAACAGAGAGAGAGAAAGAGAGAGAGGGAGGGAGAGAAACAGAGAGAGAGAAAGAGAGGGAGGGAGGGAGAGAAACAGAGAGAGAAAAAGAGAGGGAGGGAGAGAGAGATGGAGGGGGATAGAGAAACAGAGAGGGGGAGGGAAGGAGAGAGAGAAACAGAGAGAGAGGGAGGGAGAGAAACAGAGAGAGAGAAAGAGAGGGAGGGAGAGAAACAGAGAGAGAAAAAGAGAGGGAGGGAGAGAGAGATGGAGGGGGATAGAGAAACAGAGAGGGGGAGGGAAGGAGAGAGAGAAACAGAGAGAGGGAGGGAGAGAAACACAGAGAGAGAAACAGAGGGAGGGAGGGAGAGAAACAGAGAGAGAAAAAGAGAGGAAGGGAGAGAGAGATGGAGGGGGATAGAGAAACAGGGAGGGGGAGGGAAGGAGAGAGAGAAACAGGGAGAGCGGGAGGGAGAGAAGCAGAAAGAAAGAGGGAGGGAGAGAGAGGGGGGTGAGGGAGAAAGGGGAGGGAGGGAGAGAAACAGAGAGAAAGAGAGGGAGAGAGTGGGAGGGAGGAGAGAGAAACAGAGAAAGGGAGGGAGGGAGGGAGGGAGAGAGAAACAGAGAGAGAGGGAGGGATGGAGAAAGAGGGAGGGAAGTAGAGAGAGAGATATATACCTCTTGTCCATTAATGGAGAGATCAAGTCGAAACCACCGCTTTAGAGGAAGGGGGAACGTGGTCTTCACTGCAAGATCCCCTCCTTTGACAAGGTGCATTTGGATGTGAAGATAACCTGAAATGTGATTCCCCAAACCATGAAGATACTTAGGGTCAAAGTAGATTTCTCACTGACGAACTTCATACGTACAATCTCTTTCCAGTCGAGCTGGATTCCTGGTGACTCTTTGGGGGTCTGGCAAAATCCGCAAACTCCAATTACGCTCAAATATGGTTATCCAAAGTTTAAAAAATAATACACCTATTATAGGAATATATATATATATATTGCAATGTGCGATCACACACATTGCTCCTAGAAGCACGAAGCCGAGAACACCAGCCTGAAGATGACGAATGAGACTTCGTCGAAACGTTGCCAAGACACCTCCAATTTTACGTGGGAGAAAACCCGAATAACCAAAGACACACACACACACACACACACACACACACACACACACACACACACACACACATATATATATATATATATATATATAACGTTTTAAATAGGTTGGGGAAGAATAGGCAGAGCCTGAGGGCAGAGGCAAGAGAGGAATAAGCCTGGAGTCATTACGTTCCCAGAAGCTATCAAAGCCTTGATTTCTGTTTAACTTACTGTATCTAGAGCCAATTTAGTGCTAACTTCTTAGTTGACTAGATTCTTATTATATATCAGTGATGGCAAACCTTTTTGCCGTCGCATGCCAAAAGTGGGGGGAGTGCACGCATGCCCACACCCATAATTCACTACGCCCAACCCATCCCCCCGCACATGCACACATGACCCCCCACACTCCTCTCAGTTTTGGCAAGTGATGGCACAGTGGGCCCAGTAGATCCGTTATTTGCCCTCCCCAGGCTCCAGAGGCTTTCTAGGAACCTGGGGAGGGTGAAAACAGCCTTCCCAACCCCACTGGAGGCCCTCCGGAGACCAGAAACGGCCCATTTCCCGACTTCCAGTGGGCCAGGAAGGCCCGAAAATCAGCTGGCCGGCACGCACACGCTCATTGGAGCTAAACTAGGGCAACGCTCGTGTGCCCACAGATATGGCTCCACGTGCCACATGTTGCATGCGTGCCATAGGTTCACCATCACAGTTATATACTATATGCATGAGCGATAAATCTGCTTAACTTGGAACCTAATGTGTGGTCCTGATTTTAATATTTTATAAAAAAAATTATTTTTCTCATCCAATTTAATGGACCCTCTGAAAACTATCCATAGGCCCACAAGGAGTCCCTGTGTCCCAAATTAAAAACCACTCATTTACATTGTCAACCAACCTGTTAACAAAAATCATAACTTGTGCACCAAAGTCTTTGTATTCATTTTAATGCACAGAAGCGCCAATTGTAAAAGAATCAGAATCGTCTTTTGCAACGGTTATCGTCCCCCATCTAGATCAAATCCAGAGCCAAGCTCCTTCTACCAGACTGACTTTCTTAAGAAGGGTTTTAGGCAGTGGTGAAATGCAAATTTTTTTACTACCGGTTCTGTGGGCGTGGCTTGGTGGGAGTGGTGTGGCTTGGTGGGCGTGGTTTGGTGGGCATGGCAGGGGAAGGATACTGCAAAATCTCCATTCCCACTCCACTCCAGGGGAAGGAAATTGCAAAATCTCCATTCCCACCCCACTCTGGGGCCAGCCAGAGGTGGTATTTGCCGGTTCTCCGAACTACTCAAAATTTCCGCTACCGGTTCTCCAGAACCTGCTGGATTTCACCCCTGGTTTTAGGGGAGAGTGCAGGGGGAAATCAAATTAAATTTGCTTTGCATTTAAGGCAGCGTTAATTCAGTCAACCTGGAATTTTCTTCTTCTTACCTGTATTGGTTAGAAATACAGAAGGGGTGCCGTACATTTCTCTCGAATCGATGAAATATAGGATGCCGCACAACGATCTCTCACAGTAGCACAGCAAATAAAGCCAGGCCGAGATTGTAAAGCTGTACAAACACAAAAGGCTGGTGAGAAACAGCTTACTGTCTAACTGAATAACATCCAATCACTTCAAACCAGGTGTAATGTTGATTTTATCTCTTCGCCTAAATGGAAAAGGGTCCATTGAGATGTTTCCACTGAAGGACATATATTGATACAAAAAGCGACGAGTAAGGTTGAGATGGAAAAGGCGACATATCTTCACAAGCCATGTAGTGGATAGCAATGTCCACGATATTTTAGGGTGATGTCTCCCTTGGACAACTCCTCAGACTCTTCCCTGTAGGTCAGCTCAAAGGCCCATCAGGAACTGGGTTAGTTAATTACTCTCAACCTATTCTCCAAAACACCGGAGGGCAGGACAAGAAGCAATGGATGGAAATTAATTAAGGAGAGAAGCAACCTGGAATTAAAGAGGAATTTCCTCACAGTGAGGACAATTAATGGTTGGGCATGCTAAAATCTTTGCTAAAAGATTTTGAAGCCCTTGCTAAAATCTTTGAAGCCCACCCCTGATTTCATCCCTTCCATGCCCATCTCTACCTTTGCAAGAAGCCCTCCAAAAGATAGGCATTTAACTAAATAGCTTCATTATTGCCACCGAAGTTTGAAATCTTGAGAAAAGTTTAATCCAGCCGCCTAAGTAGCTTTGCAAAAATGTCACAGGGTAAATAAGCGTGCAACCTATACACATTTCAGAAAAGAATAAACGTTCTTTTATTGTTAGGAACTGCTTACGTTGGATAACTCGTATGATCTTTCCGGATGGCTTCAAGCTCTCTGTTTTTAAATTTCTGAAACTTCTTCACGATTCCTGTCCCCTCTCCACTGGATGCATACGGAAAGTTGAGGATCTCCATCAGGTCTGTAAAAAAATAAGACAGTTTTGATTGGTTTTACATAACAAAAAAACAAAAAACCTTCAAGAATTCTTTCGCTCACATTCTCACTCAGCTCTCTGATGAAACACTGCAGTCGTTAAGCAAATCCAGCTTCCCTCATTGACTTTGCTTTTTTTGGAAACTGGCAGGGAAGGCGGCAAATGGTGATCTCGGGATGCGGCAACCATCTTAAATGCATGCCAACTGACGAGCACCCAAATTTTGACTGTGGCTCTGATGGTTTTGAGAACTGGACATAACTGTGGTCCCCAATTCGGGTCTGAGCTCGGTGCCAAGGCCAATGAAAAACACCAGACAGGAGGTGCAGGTTTTCTCTCCTTTTATTGAAGCGCTCCAAGAAAAGGGGTCCTGTCCAGAAAATGCTTAGAAACCCTGGATAATAGAATTAAGAAAGCCTTATACCAGTGATGGCTAACCTTTTTGCCGTCGCGTGCCAAAAGTGGGGGGAGCACAGGGGGGTCACACGTGTGCGGGCCCACACCCATAATTCAATGCGCCCACCACCCCCTGCATATGCGCGCAGGACCCCCGCGGTCTCCCCCGCTTTTGGCACGTGATGGCATAGAGGCCTGTTTTTTGCCCTCCTCAGGCTCCAGAGGCATTCTAGGAGCCTGGGGAGGGCGAAAACAGCCTTCCCCACCCCTCCGGAGGAAATCCAGAGGCCAGAAAAGGCCTGTTTCCCGACTTCTGGTGGGCCCAGAAGGCCCGAAAATCAGGTGGCCAGCACGCGCATGTGCACTGGAGCTGAGATAGGGCAATGCTCACATGCCCACAGATATGGTTCCACGTGCCACATGTGGCACGTGTGCCATAGGTTCGCCATCACGGCCTTATACTTCTTCACTAAAGCAGAAGGCGAAGTGAGGCGGGATATATAAGAAATATGACCTAATAATTTTTTAGTAATGATCTAACGATTATTCGGTCTTCCGGGTGCGCTTCAAGGTTTTGGTTACCACCTTTAAAGCGCTCCATGGCGCAGGACCTGGGTACTTGTGGGACCGCCTACTACCACCAATAGCCTCTCACCGGCCGGTACGCTCCCATAGAGAGGGGCTCCTCCGGGTACCGTCGGCCAAACAATGCCGACTGGCGGCCCCCAGGGGGAGAGCCTTCCCTGTGGGGGCACCTACTATCTGGAACGAGCTCCCCCAGAGATACGAAGGATCCCGGATCTGCGCACCTTCCGCCACGCTCTAAAGACCTTATTATTTCACCAGGCGGGCCTGGCCTAATTTTCTCCCTCTTTTATAAAAGATTTTTAATTTTTTAGTATTTTATATATTCAAATTTTAAAATAGGTTTTAAATTGATTGGAGTTTTAATTTGTCTGGGCCAATACTATTTAATTTGATTTTAATTCCACTTTTAAATTTTGTATGTATGTATTTTATTGTTTGGCTGTGCACCGCCCTGAGTCCTTCGGGAGTAGGGCGGTATAGAAATCAATAAAATAAAATAAAATAAATAAATATTCTGTTGGTCTCTAGCCATCCCAAAATCTTGGCTAATGAATGCTTCAGGAGTTATCTCATACACGTTCTATTTGCTCCAGGCCATCTCTATCACTAACGTCTAACCGAGGTCTGCAGGATGCGTAACTCTTTCTTACTTTTATCAGCTTTCTAAGCACCCAGAATTGTCACAAGCTTTACACCCCTGTGAATACGCATTCTTTGTTCTTGCCAGACGGACTCCACAATTCCATGCTTCCCGGTCTCCTCACAAGTGTCAGCCATAACTTTGCTTTGTTTCAGCAGACCGTATATCCGTAACAACACTTTTTCAGTGCCGCTGCAACTTGGAACAGTTGCTAAACGAACCATTGTAAGTCAAGGACTACCTATATGTCAATACGGCGAATCCTCGACGTATGACCACAATTGAGGCCAGAATTTATGAAATATGTTTAGTGAGTTTTGTCCCATTGGACGGCATTTTTTTAAAAAACAACAACGCCACACTTGTTAATTGAATCATTACGGTTCTTAAATCAGTAACACTGATTCGGGCATCCCCGTTGACTCCGCTTGTTAGAAGGTCGCAAAAGGCAATCATGGGATACCTCAACCGTCGTAAATATGAACCGGTGGCCAAGCATCTGAATGTAAATCATGTGACTACAGGGATAGCAATAGCCATAGCCCTTAGACTTATATACCGCTTCACAGGACTTTAGAGCCCTCTCTAAGCCATTTACAGAGTCAGCCTCTTGCCCCCAACAATCTGGGTCCTCATTTTACTGACCTCGGAAGGAGGGAAGGCCTTGAGCCAGTCAGGATCAAACGGCTGGCAATGGGCAGAGTTAGCCTGCAATACTGCATTCTAACCACTCTGCCACCATGGAAGGAAGGAAGAGAGGGAGGGAGGGAGGGAGGGAGGGAGGGAGGAAGGAAGGAAGGAAGGAAGGAAGGAAGGAAGGAAGGAAGGAAGGAAGGAAGGAAGGAGGAAGGAAGGAAGGAAGGAAGGAAGGAAGGAAGGAAGGAAGGAAGGACTAGCAATAGCACTTAGACTTATATACTGCTTCACAGTGCTTTTACAGCCCTCTCTAAGTGGTTTACAGAGTCAGCCTCTTGCCCCCAACAATCTGGGTCCTCATTTTACCCACCAAGGAAGGAAGGAAGGGAGGGAGGGAGGGAGGGAGGGAGGGAGGGAGGGAGGAAGGAAGGAAGGAAGGAAGGAAGGAAGGAAGGAAGGAAGGAAGGAAGGACTGACTAGCAATAGCACTTAGACTTATATACTGCTTTACAGTGCTTTTACAGCCCTCTCTAAGCGGTTTACAGAGTCAGCCTCTTGCCCCCAACAATCTGGGTCCTCATTTTACCCACCACGGAAGGAAGGAAGGAAGGAAGGAAGGAAGGAAGGAAGGAAGGAAGGAAGGAAGGAAGGAAGGAAGGGCAATATCACTTCACAGGGCTTTGCAGCCCTTTCTAAGTGGTTTACAGAGTCAGCCTCTTGACCCCCAACAATCTGGATCCTCATTTTACCAACCTTGGAAGGATGGAAGGCTGAGTCAACCTTGAGCCTGGCAAGATTCGAACTGCTAAATTGCAGGCAGCCGGCAGACAGCAGAAGTAGTCTGCTGTACTGCACTCTAACCGCTGCGCCACCGGTGCAGCAACGGTCGTCGTCGTGAAAAACAGTCATATAGCGCTGTTGTAACAATCGCTAAATGAGCGATTGTTGGCTGTACTCAACAGCTGCAAACCCACAACGTGGTTGCCAGTGAGAAGAAATCTGCATGTTTCCCTACCGTTCTCGTGGGGACACCGCGGTATCCTGTTTGCTCGGAGTTTCCACGTCTGTTCCGTGCTCCAGGTCAAGCACATCTTATGTTCCTTGAACGGACGTTGAAAAGGTGGAACTGGATCCAAAAAACTGTAATCCCGTACAATGGCGCGCCAGTAGCTTTCCGCTTGCGGGGCGTGGTGGACCAGGGCCGCCTTGTGAGTAATCCAGGCGTAGAGGATCACATACCCTACATTTAGCGATCGTTTGATCAGGTAATCGTCTCTGAAGACCATACTACTTGGGAAAGTCAAGCTGATCGTCCGATTCTTCCGGACGCGATCCCCTTCCCATCGTTTCTTGTACACCGATACAGTATTCCTGAACTCCAAGGAGGCTTTCACCTCTAAAGTTACGATGCAGGGTTTTGAGCAGAAATAGGCCACCGAAATGCCGACGCTATTCCGCAGCTTTTTGTTCCGAACATTCAGGTGAATAAAATCCTCAGAAAATGTCTTGCGCTGAATCTCGGGAGTTATTGGCGTGGTCAGCAGCGTTTCCCTTCCCGATGTTATCCCGCTTTTCTATGGAAGAAAAATCACCAGGAGATTGTGAGTTCTAGTCCCGCCTTAGACATGAAAGCCAGCTGGGTGACTTTGGGCCAATCACCAGGAGACAGTGAGTTCTAGTCCTGCCTTGGACATGAAAGCCAGCTGGCTGGGTGACTTTGGGCCAATCACCAGGAGACGGTGAGTTCTAGTCCCGCCTTAGACATGAAAGCCAGCTGGATGACTTTGGGCCAATCACCAGGAGACGGTGAGTTCTAGTCCCGCCTTAGACATGAAAGCCAGCTGGATGACTTTGGGCCAATCACCAGGAGACGGTAAGTTCTAGTCCCGCCTTAGACATGAAAGCCAGCTGGATGACTTTGGGCCAATCACCAGGAGATGGTGAGTTCTAGTCCCGCCTTAGACATGAAAGCCAGCTGGGTGACTTTGGGCCAATCACCAGGAGACGGTGAGTTCTAGTCCCGCCTTAGATATGAAAGCCAGCTGGATGACTTTGGGCCAATCACCAAGAGACGGTAATTCTAGCCCCACCTTAGATATGAAAGTCATGTTGGAAAGTCGTTAATTAGTAACTAATTAATACTAACCATTAATAGAATGAATAAATGGGAGAAGGAGCAGGAAAAATCAACGGTATAAGTACAGATTAGACGAGACCTGGCTCAAAAAGAGTAACTGTGAGAAGGGACCATGGAATCCTAGTCGACGATCTCTTAAAACATGAGCCAGCCATGTGCGGCAGCAGCCAAAAAAGCTAATACAATCCTCGGTTGTATAAACAGAGGCATAGAATCAAAATCACGTGAAATATTAGTATCACTTTATAAAGCTCTTAGTAAGGCCACACCTGCAATAACTGCATCCAGTTTTGGTCACCACGTAACACAAAAAAGACGAGACTTTGGAAAAAATGCAGGGAAGAGAAACTAAGATGATTAAAGGAGACTAAAACATACGAAGAACGGTTGCAGGAATTGAGTAGGGCCAGTTTAGAGAAAAGAAGGTTTATTTATTTATTTATTTTATTGAATTTCTATACCGCCCTACTCCCGAAGGACTCAGGGAGGTGAACAGCCATGGAATAAAACACATACATATACAAAATTTAAAATCGAATAAAATGAATTAAATAAATTTGGCTGAATTAATACCCATAATTTAAAATACCCATATTTTAAAACACATTAAAATTTAAAATTTGCACTTAAAAGGGAGAAGATTTAGGCGAGGCCTAAATAAATAAATAAATAAATAAACTTTATTGTCATTGTATGTGTATACACAGTATACACACACAACGAAATTTACTCGACACCCAAAGACCAGGTCCAACACACATAACAATCCCCAAACACGCTCCCACCCACCGCAATTCCCCACCCCCTAAACCACCCAAACATCCACACAACAGACCAAGTAATCCTGTCTAACTGCTCAGTGACGGTGGCCCTTTAGTTAAGCAATGTTTCAATATCACAAAGAAGAGGGGCTCAAATTATTCTCCAAACACCAGAAGACAAAGACAAGAAGCAACGGTTGGAAACTAAGCATGGAGAGAAGCAAGCTGGGATTAAGGAGACACTTCCTAACAGTGAGGACAATTCACCAAAGAGCCTTGGTAGTACAGTGGTCTAAAGCACCCTGTTATTAAGACCAGCTGCCTGCAATTACTGCAGGTTCGAATCTCGCCAGGCTCAAGGTTGACTCAGCCTTCCATCCTTTCTAAGGTAGGTAAATTGAGGACCCAGTTTGTGGGGGCAATAAGCTGACTTTGTATAAAATATACAAAAGGATGAAGGCTATTGCTTAACGCATTGTAAGCCGCCCTCGGCATATAAATCAAATTTAAAAAAAAAAAACCAGTGGAACAGCTTGCCACCAGAAGTTATGGGTGCTCCATCCCTGGAGGTTTTTAAGAAGAGACTGGACAGTCACTTATCTGAAATAGTATCCGTTCTTCTGCTTGAGCAGAGGGCTGGACTAGAAGACCTCCAGGGTCCCTTCCAGATCATTCATTCTACATTTGACCCGGATTCTGCCGTCGGAATTCACAGAACGGACCCAACGGGGAGCCAGGGGGCGAAGGAGAGGACCCCCCCCCGGTGCCCATTTGAGCTTGGCAGGGGGATGGACTAGAGGACCTCCAAGGTCCCATCTGAGCTTGGCCACCGGGCTGGGGTCCATCCCGGGCTCCGGCAAAGCCCGAGAATCCGCGTTCACACGCGACCCGCGAAATTCAGTGTTTGCAGCCAAACCCAGCGGGGTTGTTGGGCAGGGGTCTTGGGCAGGGGGCGGCAGGTTGGGCAGGGACTCACGCAAAGCAGCAGGCAGAGGCCGAGGAGGGACCGGGCGGCCGCGGCGCTGTCCATGGCGGTGCCCGCGGGGCTCAGCTCGCCCGGGGCGGAGGAGGAAATCCTGCTTCGTGGACAGGTGAAGGAGGAAGCGGGGAGGGGCGCGGCAGGTGAGCCAACCTGGCTCCGGCCCCGGCCCGGCCCCTCCTCGCTCTTCCGCCGCGAGGCCCGGAGCGGGAGCCCTCTGAGCTTGTGCAGAGTGCCCTGGATTCCCAGGACTAGAGGCCGCCCGTTCCTTGGGCTGGAAAAAAAAAAGTGGAGTCTGGGAGGAAGGGGTCTCCGCACCCCCAGTTTGGAACTGAAGAGCTGGGGAAGGGGCAGGTTGCCCCCTCTTCCTCTCCAACAAGCCTTTGCGCCTTCCTCTCCTCTCCATTCGTCCCTTTGCCCATCCCTCCTTCCTGCCCATTCATGCAGAGAAAAACACCGAAGATGCTCAGGGCTCTGCTTAAATCCCCCTGTGTGAAGAATTCATCCAGCCACTCAGGGTTTGCACGAATCTCCAAAGCGGGTTTTAAATTCGCCTTTCCTTTTGCATTTATAACTTTGACGCAGCCTCCCAAACACACAAAAAAATACACTCCTCTTGATAAAGGTTTATATTAGTGGGTTTGAGATGGTCTTCATCGCGCCCAGCGTCCAAATTATCCTGGGGGGGAGGGGCAAGGAGAGAGAGAGTGGGAGGGAGATGGATAGAGATAGAGGGAGGGATGGGGGGAGAGAGAGAGAGATGATGGATGGATGGAGAGAGAGAGAGAGAGAGAGAGAGAAAGGGAGGGAGAGAGGAAAGGAGGGAGGGACGGGGAGAGAAAGATGATGGATGGATGGATGGATAGATGACAGATAGATAGATAGATAGATAGATAGATAGATAGATAGATAGATAGATAGATATAGAGGGAGGGAGGGAGGGAAGGTGGGAAGGAGGTGGGATAGATTGATCGATATAGAGGGAGGAAGGGAGGGAGAAAAGGAGGGAGTGGGAGAGAGATATGATGGATGGATGGTTGGATAGATAGAGAGAGAGAGGGAGGGAGGGAGAGAGGAAAGGAGGGAGGGAGGGGAGAGAGAGATAGGATGGAAGGATGGATGGATGGATGTATAGAGATGGATAGAGATTGAGGGAGGGACGGGGTGAGAGAGATGATAGATGGATGGATGGATGGATGGATGGATAGATGATAGATAGATAGATTGATTAATCGATCGATCGATAAATAGATAGATAGATAGATATAGATGGAGGGAGGGAGGAAAGGAGGGAGGGGGAGAGAGAGATGATAGATGGATGGATGGTTGGATAGATAGATAGATAGATAGATAGATAGATAGATAGATAGATAGATAGATATAGATGGAGGGAGGGAGGGAAGGTGGGAAGGAGGTGGAATAGATAGATAGATAGATAGATAGATAGATAGATAGATAGAAGATAGATAGATAGATAGATAGATAGATAGATAGATAGATAGATAGATATAGATGGAGGGAGGGAGGAAAGGAGGGAGGGGGAGAGAGAGATGATAGATGGATGGTTGGATAGATAGATAGATAGATAGATAGATAGATAGATAGATAGATATAGATGGAGGGAGGGAGGAAAGGAGGGAGGGGGAGAGAGAGATGATAGATGGATGGTTGGATAGATAGATAGATAGATAGATAGATAGATAGATAGATAGATAGATAGATATAGATGGAGGGAGGGAAGGAGGGAGGGAAGGTGGGAAGGAGGTGGGATAGATAGATTGATTGATCGATTGATCGACATAGATAGATAGATAGATAGATAGATAGATAGATAGATAGATATAGATGGAGGGAGGGAGGAAAGGAGGGAGGGGGAGAGAGAGATGATAGATGGATGGTTGGATAGATAGATAGATAGATAGATAGATAGATAGATAGATAGATAGATAGATAGATATAGATGGAGAGAGGGAGAAAAGGAGGGAGGGGGAGAGAGAGATGATAGATGGATGGTTGGATGGATAGATAGATAGATAGATAGATAGATAGATAGATAGATAGATAGATATAGAGGGAGGGAGGGAGGGAGGAAAGGAGGGAGGGGGAGAGAGAGATGATAGATGGATAGATAGATAAATAGATAGATAGATAGATAGATAGATAGATAGATAGATAGATAGATAGATAGATATAGATGGAGAGAGGGAGAAAAGGAGGGAGGGGGAGAGAGAGATGATAGATGGATGGTTGGATAGATAGATAGATAGATAGATAGATAGATAGATAGATAGATAGATAGATAGAGGGAGGGAGGATTTATCAAGCCCCATCATAGTTTCGTAGCAGAGCACGGGTATCCAGCTAGTTCCATTATAAGGGTTTGTGAGTCATAAGGCTTACTTTGAAATCTATCGTTGGTCCTTTAGGTGAACAATTCTCGTTCATTGCAGTCTTTCGTTCCTTCTGACAGTGAGTCCTCTTCTTCAGGGAGTGTCCTCTGTGGATGAGCTGGTTGGGAGTTTAACACGCTTGGCCTGTGACAGGTGGGAAGAGCAGGTGCCAATTTTCCACACGCTCCAATTTTTTTTTTTAAGGCTCTGATCTTTCTTATCGAGGGGGTCTCGCTCGATAAGGTGTAGGGAGGGAACCCAGGAGAATTGGGATTTTTGTTTTAAGGATCTGGAGTTGGGGGAACAGTGTCATCACCCCTTGATTCATAGTTGGGTTACTCTTTGTTAGCCCTGGAATTTGCTAAGACCTCTCCCCACTTCTGGCCTGCTAGGGTTGAAAAATAATTTGGGGTTTGGCCTGGATGTTTGGAGGCCTGGCGTGACTGAGGTTTCTTTCTTTTTTTTTTCTTTTTAAAGTTTTTTTTATTAAATATACAGTTAAAAACATTAGACACAGTACAACTTTTCTGGTTCCAACATTTCCATCAAGTTATACCTTACAACAAATACAATTCATATTCGATATATGAATTTTGTACACTCTATCAAAATTCAGACACGTAAATCTCTTCGTCTGTGGAAATTACTTTCGATACCAATACAATTCCTACCTATCACGTAACACTAACATAATAATTTTCCAACTCTCGGCTTATCAATATTTCTCTATCCAGACATTCGTCCTCCTCTCCAACCATTGATACGTTTTGTTCCAGATTTCATGATATTCCGTTTCAGCCTTGTCTTTGAGTTCTAGAGTCAGCTGTCCATTTCTGTGCAAGTCAGTATCTTATTTATTATCTCTTCTTCAGTGGAGGGTTCTCTTTACTTTTCCAATTTTGCCCGAAGACCAGTCTCACTGCTGTTAGTATATGCAACATTAAATATATTGTTTCTTTATTATGTTTATCCTTTGTGATACCCAATAGAAAGAGTTTTCTGGCTTTGGATCTATATTTTGATTTAACATCTCTTCCAGCCATCGTTTTGTCTGATGCCAAAAATCCCTAGCTTTCGGACAAGCCCACCACATATGGTAGAAGGTTCCTGGTGCTAGCTTACATTTCCAGCACATCGGTGAGTCCCAAACATGAGAGGGACAAGAGAGGGAGGGTGAAATACCTCACAAGCTCCTACGTCAGCAGTAAATTTGCATGGTGCAAATTTATGGCACCTGTTTTTATTATTATTATTATTATTATTATTATTATTATTATTATTATTATTATTATTTATTGAATTTCTATACCGCCCTACTCCCGAAGGACTCAGGGCGGTGAACAGCCATGGAATAAAACACAGACATATACAAAATTTAAAATCGAATAAAATGAATTAAATAAATTTGGCTGAATTAATACCCATAATTTAAAATACCCATACTTTAAAACACATTAAAATTTAAAAATTTGCACTTAAAAGGGAGAAGATTTAGGCGAGGCCAGCTTGATGAAATAAAAGAGTCTTCAATTCGCGGCGGAAGGTGCGCAGATCCGGAATCCTCCGTATCTCTGGGGGGAGCTCGTTTTACCATTCTTTATCAGATGCCTTTGTCCCTAAATGCCTATCGTTCCAAACTAACAGACAAACTTGTTTTTCCCCCACTCTCCGCACCCCCCCCCCCGGTAGGAACTATGAGGCTCTACAAAAGGAAAAAGAACTTGGGATCCTGGATTTGTGTGTCTCCGGCCTCTTGAAGCTTCATCCTGGCGATTCCTTCGAACATCAGGCAAAGTCTGCAAGAGAAATTTATAAGACGGGTTGGTAGTAGATATTAAATATTGCCTGACTAGGTGGCTCAGTGGCTAGTCAGGCAATATTTGCATGAGAGCAACCTGATTCAGCTGCTTCAAATGTTTAAAAAGCAGATCCCTTCCTCAGGTGAGTTGGGCGATTGCCTAGCTAGCAGGAAGTATCCGGGTTGGGATTCAGCCGGTTCAGCCCGGTTCGGGTTGAACTGGATGCTAATTTTACATCTGGTTCGCCAAACCGGTAGATGCAAGGACTGGCTGGCCCTGGCCACCTACCCCGCCCCTCCCAGGAGTCTCCACGCAGCCTGCGTGCAGGGCCTGCCGGAGGCTCTGGGAGGGCAAATAACGGATCACCCAGAAGTTCTGGAAGTCCGGAAATGGGCCCGTTCTGGCCTCCAGAGGGCCTCCAGAACCCTGGGAGGCCATTTTCGCCCTCCCAGAGGCTTGAGAAAAGCCTCCGGAGCCTGGGGAGGGCAAAAAACAGGTCTCCTGGAAGTTCCGGAAGTCTGGAATCTGGCCCGTTTTTGCCCTTCCAGAGGCTCAAGGAAAGCCTCTGGAACCTGGGGAGGGTGAAAATACCCCCCCCACACACACACCACCATGGTTCAGGAGGCCGAGTAGGTCATGCCCACCATGGCCACACCCACCCAGCAAGAGAATCCCACCCCTGATGGAAAGTATATATATATAACAACAATAGCAAGATGACATCTCTAGAAAAATGAATTGTCCCTGGTTGTCTCTGGTTTTCCTTGGGGAACTGGCAGTGGGGAAATCTAAAATTTGTTACTACCGGTTCTGTGGGCGTGGCTTGGTGGAGGGGGTAATGTGACTGGGTGGGCGTGGCCAATTTTTATTTTTATTTTTACT